TATCTTTTCAACATAAATTAAATTTTTTTAAAAAAAGAAATGGCCCATAAAGTACCAACTCTTTGTGGGTTTCCTCCATTACATGAACAAATATTCTGCTCTTTATAGGCATTTCACTCTGAATCATTTAATTTATATTAAATACATAAATGTTTGTAAGTAAAATTCAAAAAGTGTTGCACTAATATTTTTATGAAAGGGAAACTGGTAGGTTTTGTATTTAACATAAATTAAATATGTGAAAGCAAAAAAAAAAAAAGAAATTACCCATAAATCTATGTCTTGCAAATCTATACTAGTAAAATAGTTTCAAACAAAATTAAACATTAAAATAAACTGTAATTTATACACATTAAAATATCTGTAATTTATACACATTTTGCAACTACTACTTTGTGTTTTCTCTGTAATGAATTTTTTAACTATTGAGAACTTAAGTTTTGTCTTGCAAATCTATACTAGTATAATAGTTTTAAACAAAATTAAACATTAAAATAAATGTTTGAAAAAGAAAAAAAGTACATTTATCACTTGCAGTAATGTAAAAAAAATTTCTCAACCATTATCAATATTTTCACAAAAGTATTAAAAACTATCAATTTAATTAGTGACGACTTTTCTTGTCATTATAATCTTGAATAAATTAGTGATAACATTATGTCATCACTAAATTTTCTTTGATTTTGACTTAACAATAATGTCTTATTAATAGCATTTGATTATTTTTAATGAAAGTCAGTTATAACCATAGAATTTGACTTTCGTTATTTTCAATTAATGATGTACTTTAGTGCTGCAATTATAAAAAATTGCAGGGCTAAAATATTTGTAAATTATAAAAGTATATTTTCACTTATATGTAATTAACAAATTTTGCCACCTATATTGATGAAAATTTGTGTTTTTGTACTAAAAAATAAAGAATAATACTATAGCAATAAAATCTATGCTTCAAACCAAATTAAAAATAAAAAAAAAGCATGATGATTGATCTCAAATGTTGGGAAAATGATTATTTTTATTGAAACTATGTTATAACCATATAATTTGAGTTTAATTATTTTCAATTACATGATGTTCTTTAGTGCTGCAATTATAAGAAATTAGTATAAAATATTAGCAAATTATAAAAGTACATTTTCAATTATATGAAATTAACAAATTTTGCCACATATGTTGATGAAAATTTTTATTTGTTGCTAAAAAATAAAGAATAATACTATAGCACTAAAATCTATGGTTCAAACCATATTACAAATCCAGAAAAAAACATGATTTTTGGTATCAAATGGAGGGAAAATGAGTGAAGTCAAAATTTTGATCAAATCATAGTGAAAGTGCCGCGCAACAAAAACAATATCCAAAGCAAAGCAAAGACCAAAGCAGCGGAACACATTCTGAAAACAAAAGCAACGGAACACTTGGTCTGAGTTAAAGCAACGGAACACTTGAGCAACACAAACTTTCACTGAGCTGAAACAAACAAGCTTCTGCACTGAGCACAAAACAGAGCTTGCGCACGACACCTGATACTTTCACCCACACAACAAATCCGTTCTCTGGCTTCTCACTAGCATCACCATGGCTGTCCAGCATTAAAGGGCAAGGTTTTCATTGGAAAGGTTCGTTTTTCTCTCTCCTATACATTTTCCCCAATTTTTCCAAATCCCTAATATTCTACAATATTTTTTGCAAATTTCTGCCCAAAATCTTTTAGCAGCTCTTGATTATTAGATGCTATCATAGCTATGTTGTACTTGGAACTCCCCCCGCTCGACTCGATTCATCTAACCTGTGGCTGATTTGTTTCAAGTTCATTTCTGCAAGCGTGATTGGTCGTTGAGTTGGATGTCCGTTATTTCGAAGAGGAGTCCGCTTGATTGGTTCATCGATCAGGTTTGAGAAGCTGTCTATTCGAGTTTATTTGGCTTTATCTTTTGTTTGCCAAATTATTGAGGTCAAAGACTCAAAGGTAGGAATAGGTAGGGAAAAAGAGGGAATTGTTCAAAATCATAGACGAGAATAATAAAGCGATGTACGTTGTGGTATTTGAATGTTGACCGTTGAAGGAGTCTGCATAATGCTCTGTGCTAATTGTTTTAAAAATTATTACAGTATCCACTTTCAGTTGTTGATTATTTTCCAATTTCTGTTGCTTTTGGATTTTTGCTTTTCTGTTGTGGAATTTGGAAGGCATTAGATTATAACTTTGTTGAGTTTTGTTAATTCAGAAGATAAGGATGTAAAAGAAGTTCCATAATGTATCTGACTATTGAATGATGTGTTTGTGAGCATTTCCTTGTGTTAAATGCAATTGCTTTGAATGAGCGGTTAAAGTGAGTTGTTTCTTTTTATCACAATCTGGTACACGAAATAGATATATCCACTTTGTTCTTTTTCCTCATATTTTCCTTAAAATATACTTTCTATAGTGTAACTAATGTTCCTTTGGAGCCTGCCCAATTCTGAATTTTGAATGAACTTTGAGTATTGGATGAGATTTTGAGTGATAATGTTCCTTATGACTACCAAGTTTTCTTAGTTTCAGTTTGACTGAAGCTTTGTAATGTGGTCCAAGGGTATGTATGAAGCATACTCATTATTGGCATGGGCATCTGTGTTGATTGAAGCATGTTATTATCCTCAGGAATTTCGGTTACCATAAAACATTATATATTTTTATCTTAGCAGAGCAGCGTGATGGTGATTTCTCCCTTTGTACATCTTTCTTTCCCTACTTAATATCTAAAGTTGGAAAAGCATTTGGACATGCTTATGTGTGACTTGTATGATGGGGAAACTGATTCTGCATAGCATTGGCAACTGTGGGACAAAGGGATGACCATGTATGGTAAATATTTGTCCATTAGGTATTAATCTTCACATTCACTACCAAAATGGAGCCGAAACAAAAAGGTTCATGTATTCCAATTAGTTTTTTTAAGAAATGCTCATAAAAACTAATAATCCTATAGTGTTTTGAAGACAATTGATGAGCATGACTATTTTACTGCATATGCTGCAGGGGTGGTTTGGGTTATGCTAAAGAAGTTTCGAGTTGATTTTCCTATGCAAGGGTCTTATTATTGGTGGGGTCAATGTTCAGACTTCTAGCTGATTGGTACCTAATGTTACTATTGATGTCTAATCTTATAAAGCATATGATGTTAACTACATGATCTTGTGAGTTTTATAACTTTAGCTGTCACTAAATTGAGCCACACAAAGATCTACTTTATCTGTGATGTCTGGTTGGTAGGAGAAGTGTTACCTTCATTAAAAACTATTCTAAGTTGATACTCGTTATCTAGATGATATGAGCTGTTTGTGCCAATCAACTTGTTCACTGTGTTTATTCTGCAAATAACTGATGTTTGAGATGGTAAAAAGCAGTGTGTTATCCTACTGCTTGTGGCAAGAGAAAATTCTAGAGCAATTTTTGTACTTGGTTTGCTTGTTACAATGGGATGGTAAAATGTGGTTGTGGTGTATCTTCCATATAAACTATGCATAGCCTTGATAAGAACAAAAGCTGTTCAGGAGTAGCAGGGAGCTAAAATTACGACATAGCACATCATTTAGTGTGCTGTATAGCATTTGTATCATTTAACAAGCATAAGATTGTTAAATCTTGCGCGACAATTATCTAGTTGTAAGCAGATGCTGCCTATTTGGAGACCTCCTTTCTTGAGAAGCTATATTTATACATGTTTGTTGGGAACTTCCATTAGCTTTTGAGTATTAAATGTGAAGGTCATATTGTTCAATACTTCCACAGAAATTATGCTTTTGAGTAATAAAATCAAAGAGGGCTAGTACCTCCTGTGTAAAGATGGATGAGTTCTTGAGATCGCTGATATCTTTCAGGCAAGTGACTCAGATGAAATGAGTAATTCATGAAGAAAAAAGTGAACTTGTTTAAAATCATGTCAACCTGAGACAAAGATTCAAGGAGAACTGGGTCATCTAGGAGACGTGAAAAGCAAAAGAAAAACATTAGCCCTTGATTCTGAAGTTAAAAGAATTATGTCAATTCATATGGGTATAAATACCAGACTCCCCTTTTGCTAGCTTAATGTTTTAGAATGATTTTAAATCAAAATGGCAAAATAAACCCTTAGGTTGCAGCAACACAGCATCCCTGAAAGTACAAGGACTCCTTTGTAGAAGCATTAGCTATTATAACAATTCTCTACAGTATATTTTTGTTTCAATGAATCTCTTTGGTATTGTGATATATCTTCCCTCTTTACATAGTTACACCTCTATTTTTTCAAAATAATTTTAAACACGAGAGTATGTGACCAATTCACATGTTAATAGTTTCATTTGATATATAGTGGCTAAATTGCAAAAGTTTTATTTTATTTAATGGCTCTCCAGAAGATAATGCATCCTGTAAGTTGAGCTGCAATGAATTTAAACAATTGGAGAGGACACAAGGCTGACAGAGCAAACCAGTCTATACCATCTTCACAGTTCGCACCCTTCTATAGATACCCTAGTGGCCACAAATGAGTACATAATGTTTTCCTTTTTGAAAGTAAGTACCAGATGCACTGATGCAGATCCTTCAGTAGTTAAGCATAACAGAGGTAAAATATATTAGACAAGCAACTCATAAGGGTGTTGAACTCCGTGATTACTGTTAATGTGGTATGCGTCTAGCATCTTAGTAATTTAGAAGTTCTTAGCATGATATTTTTGTGCAGAAATTGGCTAGCTGATCGCATTGCATAGAACAAGGCATGCAGAAGTTGTGCCTCAGAAAATATTCCCTATGCCGTGTATCACTGTGAATTGTCAACCATTAGGCTACTGATGCTACGAGGTTGTAATGGTTTTATGTTACTTTTTGTTGTTATACTGTACTTATTTCTTCCATTATTCAAAATTTACTTCCCTCCATGTTCTGCATGTCGTAAAGTTTAGATTTGTTAACCAAAAACAAGTTCAATGAATTCCAAAACTGCAGGAAATCAGTAAAGGCGTAGTAGAGACCTTGATTTCCCTCTATTGGAATTTCTCTGTCTTCTGTACTGCCTGGTTGTCTGGAATCAGAATCTTCTCCACGAGAAGCTGGAAACAAGTATTGCTCCATTAAGAAGTTGTCAGAAGTTAAAGTAGAGTGTGAGATGTGGTTATCAAACGTACCTATTATCCTGATTACAGTCCAAGCTAGATGAAGGAATTTTCCACTTGTCTGGTAGTTAGTTATCCGGATAATTAATACCACGGGTAGTGATATAGTAATGGAATTCTGTAAGGTTTTGTTTTGATACTGTGCTATTTTCTTCCAAATCAAATTCTGTAAGGCTTTGTTTTTATACCATGCTATTTTCTTCCAATTCAAAATCTATTTGATGAAGTCTAGATTCTTTTACCAAAAACAAGTTCAAACAATTTTGCTCGAAGAAAAGTTCAAACATTTTAAAAACTTCGGAAATAAGTCTAGATTCTTCCTTTCTCTCTTGGATTTTCTGTGTCTACTATGCTTGCTAGTTTTTCTCTCGAATCAGAATCTTTTCCAAGAGAAGTTGGAAACAAGTATTGCTCCATTTAGAAGTGGATAGAAGTTGCATTAGAGCGTAAGATGTGGCCATCAAACTTACCAATTATCCGGAATGCAGCCCAAGGTAGATGAATGAGGTTCACACTTGTCTGGCACTGGTTTTCCAGATAATTAATACCACGAGTAATGAGCTTGCACTGGTTTTCTGTTAACTTTTGTTGTTATACTGTGCTATTTTCTTCCATGATTCAAAATTTTTAAGTGTTACTTTTCTCGATGTTCTGCATTTGATGAAATCTAGATTCTTTCATTTACCAAAACAATTTGAAAACTGCAGGAATTAACTAAAGGCATAGTAGAGACCTTGACCTTCCATTTTTCCCTCTTCTGGATCTTCTGTACCTGGACCTTGACCTTTTCCAAGAGGAGTTGGAAATAAGTATTTGTCTATTTAGAAGTAGCCAAAAGTCAACGTAGAGTGTGAGATTTGGTTATCAAACCTACCAATTAGCCAGAATGCAGTCGAAATTAGACGAATGAAGTTCACACACGTCTGGTAGTTCTTGGGATAGTGCTCTCCGGTCTCCTCTAAACTTCTCCGGTCTCATCTTTTGGATTGACGGTTCTTAACCTCAGGGACATATACACCTTGCAAACAAATACAGTTGCACTTCGGTGAAAGTCAAATTGAGGAGATATTTAGATGAACAAAGGAAAGATGACTGATAAACCATACATTCAACCGTATAAGTAAAATATTCTTCCTCTAGAAAAGTGGTTTAAAATCACCAACTCTGCGTGAAATTACAAGAAAGATTTGATGATATCTCAAAATGACAAATGTTTCGGGACCTTTGAAGATCATATATTGGAGAAACTGGAAAATAATACCAGGAAAATCTTTTTAAAATGATAGCTGAAGAAAAGAATAGGAAGGAAAAGATTAAGCTATAGTTAAATTTTGAGATTTTGGCAAAGTCAGATAATGCAATGGTCTAGAGGAAAGATAAAGGCAGCATGTTAGAAGCAACGTACATAGGCAAACAGCCTCCTACCAAAAAAAAAAAAAAGATCATAGATGCTTTAGCTGAAGAGATGTTTAAATTTCTAAAATCTTCCCGATAGACATTCTTACAGCGATAGAGCATTCGATCACAGAGTCGAAGATTGCTGCTGCTCTCAAATACATTTGGCTTCCTGGCTAGGATGTGGAGAGGTTCTTAATGAATTGTAATTTTTGCCTTAATAATCTAAGTCTCATTACTTGTTCTTTATTATTGTACTCCTCCCCTTACCTACTTCTTTTACTCTTTTATGACAGATAAATGCTATTCATACTAGCTTTTGGAAGATATCTATGGTTATGGTTGAAGAATGTTGAAGACAAAATTGCCTTTTGCTCAAGGAGTGGTTCATTTAGATGTTCTTCAATTTCTTAAACTGTGATTGCTTTGGTAAATGTACCTTATGTACAAGTGATATTTTGGACAAATGTTATTTTTGTAGGCATTAGTTGGGTAATGTACACTTGAATTTGGCATTTGAGAATGCTATATTATTACCATGTAATCTAATACAAATACTTTTGGTTATCAATCGTTCATGTTTATTTGTATGATTTGTTTAAAATCAATGATTTAGCAATGATTACAGGCCAAATTATGACTATTAAGCTATTGAGAAATTGTCTAATGACAAAAAAAAGTTGTCACAAAATAGAAAATAAAAACTCCTTGTCACAACAGAGACTGTCACTAAATCTAAGCTACATTTGTAACGACAATTGTTGTCAGTAAAATAGTTATATACAATGGCTTTCGGTGCTTTTTAGTGACGACCTTAAGTAGAGCATTTTTGACAAAAGGTCAATTTGTCAATAAAACACTTCCGGATTGTTGTCACTAATGACAACTATTTAGTGACGACATTTCAGGTCGTCACTAAATAGTTGTCATTAGTGACGACAATCTGGAAGTGTTTTATTGACGACTTGATCTTTTGTCAAAAATACTCTACTTAAAGTCGTCACTAATGAGAACTATTTAGTCACGACATTTTAGGTCATCACTGTTTACTTTTACCGACGGGGATTTAGTGACGACTTTGTGACGATCAAAAAGTCGTCAATAAAAGGTATTTCTGACGATATTTGTATGTTCTGTGATGACTTTGTGTTGTCACTGATGAATAATTTTCTTGTAGTGCACACTGATTCGGGTGGGAGGTACCTCTCATGTCGTCTCAGAATCATAAACCTTTCTAAGTCGATTGGAGCGATGTCTCATCGGCTACTGAGCGATAGTATGTATCACACCGATTCGGGTGGGAGGTACCTCTCATGTCGACTCAGAATCATAAACAAAGTATAAGTCGATTGGAGCGATGTCTCATCGACCACTGAGCGATAATATGTACCACACTGATCCGGGTGGGAGGTACTTCTCATGTCGCCTCAGAACTGTCAACACATAGTCGATTCCCTGAGCGATAGCATGTACCACACCAATTCGGGTGGAAGGTACCTCTCATGTCGACTCAGAACCATAAATGGAGGTATTGAATTGAACTTGGGCAAAGCAATTGGAAATTACCTCCTAAGAGCTCCTGCATCCTACTCAAGTGCATTTTATTATAAATTGTGAATTACTTGAATATTATAGCTTTCATTATTGTGTAGGTGCTATTGTTATTTGAACTACGTGTTTTGCATATTTTCTTGGCCTCACGAGCATTCGCTCACCCCGTTAGATTTGTTTTCCTTAACAGGAGCTGAAATGGAAGGAATTATGGAGAGGTCGACTTGATGGCCATTTTGATTAGAATTTTGAATGTATTTGTTTAAACAACTTTTGGAAGCTATATATTTTGGAAATGTAAGATATTTTTGGTAGCTCATGATGTAAGACTTGAACGATTATTAAGGAATTGACCCTTTTTTTTATTTTTAACTTTTAGTATCGATTGGTTATTTTTAAGTTTGAATTGAATTTGTACCGAGTCCTAGCGAGAGTTGGGCAGGCGTTCCGTGGATACCCTTGGGTTCGCCCTTGGGAGAAATGGGAACGTCACAAAATGTTTGCTACATGTTGGGTTATATGTGTGTAAATTATCTCTCAAAAAGCATTTCATTTGATTGAGTTTAAGTTAGGTTAAAGGAAGGAAAACAAACCTGAAAATTTCTTATCAGTGCCGCCGTCCAGCGCACACTCAACAGCCCATAATTTTTCGTACAAGAGTCAAAATCAAGTATCATTTGTGGCATATGAAACTAGACTCTGAGGGTTTTCTAACAGTATAAAATGCACCTGCTAGTTTGTTTTGTATGAGTTGCAGTGAACCGGCAAAATTGACTGTTTTTCCTCACTAATTTAACTGAGAAACAAGTACAGCTACAGTTTGTAGCTCGTTTTCACTCATCTTACAAAACGAATTTGAAGACAGTTTCTTCTAGTGATTTTTAGAATTTTGAATCTATTTTTCAACGCTGTAAACCACGCTAATTTTAAACTTTTGTAGCATTAATTATGACCTGATTTACAAACTGTGTCAAGTGTTCCAAGGCTGGAATTTCGTGAACCTGGTTTCAAAAACCAGCTTTCCTAAAACTGTTGTATCTTGGTGTAGAAAGATCCAAATTAAGTTCCATTATTGTGTTTGAGTTCTTTCAGTGATATAAATTTCAAGGGCTGGTTCGATTCCTATGAATTTTTCCAAATTTTCAAAATTCACTGAAATTCAAGACTGTTTTGCTTTGTTCTTACTGAAACAGTGATTTGGAGCTAAGATTTGACTGATTTTGGATTTGAATCTGGAAAAAGTGTTTTCTAGAGAGTTTTAGTTCATTGAGTCTATTTTTCAACAGTATAAGATTTACAAATTTTGGACTTATGGAACTCAAGTTATTATTTTTCAAAGAAGGTTGCCAAAACTGAATTGTTCCTTGTAAAGTGACAAAACTCCAAAGACACTCGGAAACATTTTCTAGGTTTCAAGTCTAACTTTCTTGGTTATTTATGCCTCATTTCATACTTGGAAAATGGATTTCACCCCCTAGTCTTATGCGCTTGGTTTCCATGAAAATGAACCATAAATTGGAGCATTTAGTTAGAATAATTCTTGAGAAACTTCACTAGTTTTATATTCAAAACTTGGAACTTCTAACTTCAACATTTACCATGAATATAAGTAGCGTTTTGATAGATTTTGACTCCATAAGTTTAGAAAATGTGAACGCTCCTTTATATTCTAAAACTTGGGCATAGGATTAGAAGTTTTAAACTATGAAAACCATTTTTCGTTTCCCCGGTTCTCATGCCAAAATTAAGTATGGCACCCCCTTTTTGGAATCAAGATTTCTTGCCACGACTTGACTTGAAAATGACTTTTGAGTTTCCTTTGAGTGTTATTTCAATGATTAACAAAGAAAGTCTCTTTTAACTTGACTTGAGCTTATGGCTTTGAGTGTGGTAGCAAGAGGATTTATTTTTCTCTTATTAGCCCTAGTCGAATACCTAGGTAGTCGTGATTGTACATGTCTCAGGTGGTCACGTGGACGCCAAGGAGCTTGTCTAACCTCTTGCTTTTGCTCTTTCTTTGCCCTTGACTTTTGGTGAGTGTCAAGTGCATGTTTCATGTGCTATGATTGAAATGATATTTGTACAAGTGCTACGCGAAATTGTTATGATTTGTGAACTTACCGAGGCGAGGGTATACTTTATCGCCCTTGTCCTCTCCTTCTTGAATACTTACTACTTGTATATGAATTTGTGTGACTTGCACTTGTACTCGAACATGTTTGTAATTCGTGAGTACTGAGCGGCAGCATGTACCACACTCTATTCGGGTAGGAGGTGCCTCTCATACCGACTCAGTACTATAACCGATTTTAAGTCGATTGGAGCGTTGTCCCATTGACTACTCGTACTTGTGGGGATGCCCAATACCCAATGGCTAGCCATTCAACTCAAGCCAGCAAGGGCTTGGTTGAGGAGTTTGGTGAACCTTGGGCTTATGTACTTGACTTGCTTGGATATACTCGAGTAATATCACATCTTGTTTGACTTGCGGGCCCGGCAGGGGGTGTAACGGTGGACGAAAATTTAGTGAAAAATGGGGTTCTACAGACTTGTTACTTGCTCGGTTGACGGAGTGTCAACACTTGGAAATTGTGGATCAAGATTATCGGTGAAGTAGTGTGAATTTAGCTCATGAGAGCTCCTGTATCCTTTTACGTGTGTTTTACTTTGTATTTGTGCACTTAAATGAAATTTCATGTCAAGAAGTGTGATATTTGATTTAATTTGTGCTACTTGCTTGATTTTCTTGGCCTCACTGAGTATTAGCTCATCCCTTTAAGTTTGTTTTCCTTAACAGGTTTTGGAAGTGAAAGTTACGAAGTTCTAGACTAGCGGTTTGGT